AGAGTATCGATAGTAGATAGCAGATTTCTGTTGGCGAAGAGGCCATATAGACGAGGTGCCAAAAACGATAATTAGAAATTGGCCTCTGTGTAAACATTCCTTCTTGGGAACCTAAACATGTGTCACTCCACCGGGCCACAGAGAAGATGGAGATTGCAGTGGACGACGGAATGACGACGGCTGGTGTATCTTCATGTAACGAATCCTTGTACCTATAGCTACATATGAATACAAAGCTATGTTTTTGCATGTTAAAGGGGCAGTTATCTTACGTGTTCCGAACAGAAATACCTCTGATTAGAACTTCCAAGATTTTTCTAAAGTTTAAACATACTTTTTTCGACGTGTTTTGTATCATTTTGAAGATTAAGTGTATTGATACTGGTCGAACTCTTTTGTTGAACACTTTTGCTTTGGCCCTAGATTTTATCAACCAATGTCATATATATATATCTTTTTACAATTTTCCCCCAAAAGAGAAGTGGAAACGATCAAAGCTGTTTCGTCGAATCATCATTTTGAGTACTGATGTAACGGAATGCTGACTGAGGGGAAGATGGTGTAAGAGGGCCGGGGCAGGGAGCATGTTTGATCAACTACATTTCAAAGAGTCGTTTCTTTTTAGAAAGAGGGTGAGCGGAAAGATATGATAAAAATGTGAGGAGAGAGAATATCTCAAGTGATAAAACCCTGATTTAATAGATTCCAGATTATGATTGGCTGTTTCCGTCAGAGATGCAGATGTTACTCTATAAGTTCTCAATGATAATCAAAAGCTATCTTCATTGATATACAGACAAGCGTGTCAGAGATAGGGATTCATTGTGCAAGTAAACGTTTGTTTATGACTGATATGGTTGTATATTTTAGTGACTTAACATAGACCTGTTTCATCACGTGTGAATTATGAAACGAATATAGAAATTTTTGATTTTTTGCTCAGTGAAGGTTAAGTCTGCTCTTTACTGTTCCATCTTTTTTGGAGGGTAATGCAGACTTATCTGCTCTTTACTGTTCCATCTTTTTTGGAGGGTAATGCAGACTTATCTGCTCTTTACTGTTCCATCTTTTTTGGAGGGTAATGCAGACTTATCTGCTCTTTACTGTTCCATCTTTTTTGGAGGGTAATGCAGACTTATCTGCTCTTTACTGTTCCATCTTTTTTGGAGGGTAATGCAGACTTATCTGCTCTTTACTGTTCCATCTTTTTTGGAGGGTAATGCAGACTTATCTGCTCTTTACTGTTCCATCTTTTTTGGAGGGTAATGCAGAGTTATCTGCTCTTGTGAGAAGGTTTTGCTTTTTACGTCATTACTTCGTGAGAGTAACGTCATGAGAAAAAAGAATACTTTTCTTACCCCAAGTAATGACGTAGAAACCAATCCCTGCTACCAAGAGGAGATAACTCTGTATTGCGAAAAGGTGGAATGACGCTTTTATCAAAAGAAATTTCGCTTCCGTGCACGTCACAGATTGATTTCGCGAAAATGAAAACTTCATATGAATCATATTTCATCAGCAAATACTTTTCCCCGTGTCAATGAAAAAGACATCTTGGTTCCATGTTTATTGTCGTCACTGTGACGTAATATCATAAGCAAATGTGCCACGTCATTTCGTTATTAATTCCTGACAATATAGTAGAAATAACAGAGTAATCACGAGACAATACAATTTAACACACATCATCAACTAAAAAACGTACGGATGGTTTGATACAGGAAATAGTGCTTATTACATATAAACTTAGTTTTAAATGTTTTTATCTACTGTTAGTTCCTTTCAATTTGTGTCTGGTTTGATGTGCTTACAATCTGTACTTCTATATAATAGTCTTGTCTTTTACTTAGCTTAGATTCATACACGAAGATTTTAACTTTTCAAGTTTTCAAGTTTGCTGTATTTCTTTTTGTAAACATCTGTTTTCAGTCGAAAATGAGTGAGCTTGTCGATAGGCCATAAACATATAAAACAAACCTGTTGCAGCCTGTAAACGTTTCACGGTCAATGTTTTATTTAACTCTCTAGATGTTCACTCCATTTTTTACGACCTGTAGTTTTATATATTTGAACTACTCTTGTCTGCTTTAGCATGGTATCAACTACCACGCTTTAAAATAAGCGTGTGATCTCTTTTCCTGGTGCTGTTATCATATACCTAAGGTATTAGCTTCATTCAATTGTTGTTCCTCGTCAGTTCCTGTAACTGCCAAACAGGTGTTACCAGCTTATCAAACTTTTAATAGATTGTTCATTCATAAATTTCGCGAACATTTGTAGTCTACGAATAGTAAGCCACATTTAACCAAATGAGATATGTGTATAATATAAATGAAAGTATTGTTATGTCTAGAAATTTTCGAAAATGAAAAAAAGAAATAAAATTTTTCCAATATCTGAAATTTTTCTTTAATGCATTGTTGAACTTTAAAAATCACAATTATCTTAAACAGAGGGAATAAATGCATGATTTTCTTTACTTGATTATTTTAAATGCCCTTTTTTTTTTAAATAGTTAAATTATCAAAGTACATTTATACTACTGCGTAAATCTTTATTTTTTCATCTTACAAATATTGGCATGTTTGTGTTGAAATTCAATTATAAACATATTTTATAGCAGAAACAATTTCTCGACAAGCTCTTCAAATTTGTAATTCTCATTCAAATCTTGATTTTATTTATTTATTTATCTATTTATTTATTTTTTTTATTTACTTAAACGGATATTTGAAGGCACGTGTTGATTGTGTCACGAAGAATTTGCGGCTTAAGCTGGTGCTGTAATTACATTTGATTGAGTACAGCACGTGTCTTGCCGACCAGTTTAGAACATAGACATGAACACACATTTTGTTGTTACTGGCGGAAAATGAATTTATCTTGGCCTAAATAACTAGTTAGTCAAGTTTACGAGTGCGCTACTTCCGGTACAATAATTGTTGTTTTTCAAGCTAACACAAACCTTGATCGTCAACGCGAGGGGTGGGGGTGGGGAGTGGGGGGTAATTAACACTGTAACAACCAAGGTCATTTAGAAAAAGAATGAAAGAAAAATCAATTAAAATCTAATTAATCTGTATGGGCCTATTTGAGAAGAAAGAGAAAATAGATATGAGAATCAAAAATAAATATAAAAATAAATATACTTGATACTGGTAAAAATGAGATTGTTTTACTTGTCACACTTATATACGAAGAACGTCAATATAACTGAAAGTATGTTTAATTAAATAAAATCGAACTGGCTGTGATTACTTTACATTTATTTTCTAGATATCGATAAAATGGTTGAGTCGATATTGCGCCAGCGGATCTCCCGCATGACTTTCATTAAGATAGCCATCATCAACTGCTTTTTGGATCCTACCTTAGCATGACACTTTATGTACACATGGTATGATACTCTAATTACTTCAACTGAAATGAATAAAAACATTTTTCTCCGCGGATGACACCAAAATCAGCTGTTTCAAAATAGTTCTCTAATAGTGTATATATAGCACCAGTGTTAAAAACAACGACATATCTGTAAATCCATTTTAATAATAAAATCTCTCACAATGATTATCACATTTTCACCGTAAAGATCGTCCTTAAGCAGATGTTTTCTTCAAGCACTCTTAAAGGCAATCGTCGATATCACTAACCAATTAAGCAACTGGCATGCGATTTTTGCTTAACCATATTCATGGATTGCGTTTTGTGACATCACTGGACTTCCGATGAAATTCTCAAAACGAGGCGCAGAGGTGTCATGGCGACTAAATTTATTTAATTTATAGCGAAAAATATACAGAACATGAGTAACAGTGACAGGGAGTGTGTTCTGTAGATCTTATCTAGAAATTCCCCGAGATATGGTCTATGAAAGACAGGGTAGTGTTTTTTGTAGTTTCGATTCTGATTATCAATAGTTTATTATACAGTTTATACCAGTCTCACTGGAGCCTCGTTCAGGTCACTATTTTAATTGAATTAAAGGTAAATGCAACCATTAAATTGTATATTTGAATTTATGTACCAGTCAACTCCTTTTAATCAATTCATTCTGGTATAAAGAATGATGCATTAATTCTCGTATTCCTTTAAAATGCGACGTCAATTCGTTAGACCCAAACAACCACCCACCAAAAAATTTTTCTTCGAATTGGAAAGTTTTTAGAAACATTTAAAAAAAAACATGAATTGTGTTAGAAGTTTTTACATCGATACTGTGTAAATAATGGACACGAAATGAAACGGTTACAAATGGGTTCCATGTGTGAACACAACATCACGTGATGTTCACGTGTGATATAAAACATCGTGTGCCTGAAGGGTCAGATCCCTTCAATTGTTTGCTACATTCAGGAAGGCTGGTGAATAATGACCACACTTCCGTGACATAAACAGATGGAGTGCTGAGAATAATCGTCTGATTTCTGACCTGCTGTAGTACACCCGCACTCTGTAGGCTTTCAAACAGGAGCCACAGGGAAACTCGAAGCGATCGCTGTGATTCCTGAAAAAAGGACAAATCCAATATAAGATCATAATATTTCTGTTGATATCATCAACCTGTCGCCAACTATGTAAAGCATTAATGAGTCACCAGTATTGAGATATTTCTACGTGGATACAACTTATGTACAAATTATTTATCCTTCGTAAAAAAGACATCATTTGACGGCCACAAATTAGCTATTGACTGTTTTGTTTTGAGAATTGAGGAAATTGAGTTATTAAATTGTCGTCTTCTTCAAACTTGATCCATATTATTTTCTTTATACAATATATATTTAAAAAGAATTACCAATAAAAATGACTGCCTAAGAAATCTGGCGAGGTACACATTTGTCAAACCGGAAGCGGAACTGCTTATGCGTTGAAAGACATCAATATTGTTTTCAGTTGGGTAATTTTTGGCAGAACGATCAACCAAATTGTCGAGTTATTTTGAATATAATCCATGGAATCAAATTAATATCACAATAAAACATATCCCTGCTTAACCATCGTCATGCACTGAGTGTTCGTCGAGCAGGGGCTTTCCCGGAAATAACTTTCTGTATGGCTTGTTTGAATCGAAGAGATGAACTCGCTTTCCGCTGTCGTCCCTCACGAGCAGATTTAGCTCGTCTGCACTCCCGAAATAAGTCCTGGAACATTTCCGTTATTACGGAAACCTGTGTCCAATCAGCGGCTGATACCTCGTAAAATTTACAACCAATTTCGTCCGCCAACTCCATTCCGTGATTTACCGGAACTTGACGATCGTGAAGTAAGTCCGATTTGTTCCCCACCAAGATACCGCTGATGGCGGTGGAATGGCGCACGTTCTCAACCTGGCGTTTTATGTTGATGATCTCATCAAAACTGTCTTTGTCCGTTATGGAATACACGAAAACAAAACAGTCACCCCATAATGCGTACCCGTCCTTCCATCCTTCTTCCATCTACAACATTTGAAGGAAACTCTTATATGATAAATGTTGAAAGGCAAGTCATGGTAAAATAAGGTATATTTAGACAAGATAGTATTTAATGTCAGCTGTACTGGAAATGGAATCATAGTATCCCATGACAATTGCTTCAGAATCTTCTTCATTGGAAATAACATCTGTTTTTGTCATTGTACTGATGTAAACTATTGATAGCGGATTATTTGCAATCGTTGTACAATTCCTTCCGCTTAATATCATATCATTGAATGCCATGATTCGTTCAGCAAAATTATTTTCCTTGTCACATGCAGTCTACTTTGCTATTTAAAAATCCTTTTAACAGTTTTTCTTTTCTACCAGGTGTCGAAAGTATGCAAAATCATTCATGGGTACATTACAGGAACAAATGAAAGGAATGATTACAACAAACGTCAGTCTCCGTATATCGTTAATCTACAACCCAGAACTACATTCTAGAACCATGAATCGATGGTTCCTACGTATTTCAATGTTGGTAAACAAAGAGGGTAAATTTATCAAGCTAGATTCTGTTCTATATGAGAAATCCTGGGCCCTTATGAAAACATTCTTTTGCTCAACTAAACTTGCTTAATCATGAAGTAGCAGTTCAAAAATTAAATTACTGTGAAAAAAAAATCATATATCAGATTTGTCACAAAATGTCACATGAGCCTGATTAACAATTAATTGAACACTATCCACCTGAATGTACCAACTACTGCCTCATTCTTCTTCAATATCTTTATTGTATCTACAGTTCTCATGTATTATGCTAGAGCTTGTACCGAAACAGACAACATTGCCAGGACTGTTCAGAAGTTCTTCACCGAAAATAAACGTTTTGATCTTAATGATTTTTTACCCTGTACCATCATAATAGGGTGTGTGCCAGCCACACGTTATACACATTATGTCGGATAGTAACAACAGGTAGTGTGGATTGTATACTGAAAAGTGATTACTTATATCCAGTCTGGCACGCGTCTTCGCTGTCATTACAAGTTTTCTTTATAAACATATCTGGTCATATTGATCTCTGAAATTTTCTGGTCTCCTTTCCATCATATCATGGTGTAGTAAATATTGATAATTGTATATATATATATTTGTGTGTCTATTATAACAGATATATACCAACAAACTATTGAAGCTATCCTTCCATAATTCCTCCCCCTCCCTCTTCTCCCGCACGACCCCTCCCTCTTCTCCCCCACCTCCCACTCCCTCTTCTCCCCCACCTCCCCTCACTCTTCTCCCTCACCTACCCCTCACTCTTCTCCCCCATCTCCCCTCCCTCTTCTCCCCCACCTCCCCTCCCTCTTCCCCCCACCTACCCCTCCCTCTTCTCCCCCACCTCCCCCTCCCTCTTCTCCCGCACGACCCCTCCCTCTTCTCCCCCATCTCCCCTCCCTCTTCTCTCCCCCGCCTCCCACCCCTCCCTCTTCTCTCCCACCCCCCTCCCTATTCTCTCGCACGACTCCTCCCTCTTCTCCCCCATCTCCCCATCTCCCCTCCCTCTTCTCCCCCATCTCCCCTCCCTCTTCTCCCCCACCATCCCCTCCCTCTTCTCCCGCACCTCCCCTCCCTCTTCTCCCCCATCTCCCCTCCCTCTTCTCCCCCATCTCCCCTACCTCTTCTCCCCCCCTTCCCCTCCCTCTTCTCCCCCCCCCCCCCCCCCCCCGCCTTCCCCTCCCTCTCCCCCCCCCCCCCCCCGCCTTCCCCTCCCTCTTCTCCCCCACCTTCCCCTCCCTCTTCTCCCACACCTCCCCTCCCTCTTCTCCCCCATCTCCCCTCCCTCTTCTCTCCCCCGCCTCCCACCCCTCCCTCTTCTCCCCCGCCCTGGATCTTCATTTACCGACTCAAATATCATTTAATGAAGACATAGATAATAATAAATAAATGTGCTGAAGTGTTTGCCAGTGTCTGTGTATGAGAGTACGGGGACACAGATTACCATGAGTACATGTGTACTTGTTTTTCTGATCCCTTCTTGCGATGTATATATGTAAAATTAACTTATTGAATAACTATTCTTAAACCAAGTATATTTTTTCCTTTATCTGATTCATATAAAAAGTATCTTAAAACTTTATTAGAATTAAAATTTGTCAATATTTCACACCTGACCAGCAGTATCGAGAATCTCCATCTTGACTTCGTCGTCATCGAAATTTGTCCGATATTTATAAATACTTTCTGAAAAATATCAAGAAAAACATTTGTCAAGTGATTTGAAGGAATCATACATTTATTCTCTTTATCACAAGAAAAATCCATGAACAAAGGAAAAGCAAGAATACACAAGGAAGCCGAAACTAAAGGAAAGACAACACTGACTACTTATATTGAGGAGGGGTGGGGACAGGACGAGACAAGCGTTCATTACAAAATATTTCTGATTCTGTTCACGCTGTACGACCATGTATTCAGGAAAAAAACTACCAGTGTCTTTCAATGTCAAAAAGAATAGAAAACTGGACTTTAGATATCATATTGTCCAGTACGGTCAATGTAAGGATTTTTTTCATTTCTTTTTTTTCTTGGTGGGGTGTGTGTTTTGTTTTTATCATTCTCACCATAGCATCATAGTTATGTAAGGAAAAATGACTAAGAAAATAAAAATTGGGAAAATTGTGTTTTTTTTTCACCTTTGTTTCGTAGCCAGCGAGAAATCGAGACTTAGGCACGTCAACACGAGTATCAGAACTAATAGGATTTCATATATTATTACTATTCGTTTCGACTAAGGGTCTGAGATCCCACTCTAGACTACCTGACATCAATTTACTCTATTATTACAATATCACAGCCATTAAGACAATATACCGGCACATATTTTAATGAAAATTTCATATCATTAATTTTATCATCAAAGGTTACTTTCATCAATGTTAAAATTAATTGTGTATAAGTCACATTAACCCACTCTGATATACAACAACAGGTATAATTCGTCGACTAGCAGGTTTTTTTCCTTAGGAAAGTCTCCAAATATTTTTGTATTGTTTTTCATTACTGTACTTTATAAACTGGCACATTTGATAATGCAGGTTCTACTCCGGTTCTTATGTCTACCGTTATAGCACAAAAATGTCTGGTCTGCGTTAATAGTGTTGTAAGTATTTCACTAGAAACGGATCGATTAAATTAATTACCCAAACGATACTGCTGAAGTGTAAGGTCTTTAAGGCATTTGTGTTCTGTTTCATCAAAGTTCCTTGCTTGGTTTACAATGCAGTACTCATTCTAAATCGTAAGAGAACCGACAAAAGTTTCAACAGCTAAGAGGTAGTGGACAACCTCAACGTTTACGTCCCTAGTTTATCTGTATCAGTATTTTACATTCAATAGGTTTATGTCCACTATTAAAGCCTTTCTTCCTTTCAGTGGATATGGATTTATCTGACAGTACTCTGAATTATTGTCCATGCCGACATCACTTGATCTAATTCCTTCCTATTGTCTCTATAATGTGAACATTGTGTTGTTGGTATGCTATTGCGGCATCTTAGGACCGATATGTTTTACTGCTATCACAACTTCCATTATGTCACCTGGAACCCATCTTCATTAGACCTTTACATGTAGCTTCTTGCTCATTTCGATTTCTACCTTGACAACCATCATCACGTGATCTAATGTCGGTTCTTATCTATTTCAATGTCTATCTTGACAACCATCATCACGTGATCTACACAATGTATATATGTCGGTCCTTGTCTATTTCAATGTCTACCTGACGACCATCATCACACGACCTATATAGGGAGGTTATCTCCCGTTTCAATGTCAACCTTGACACCCGATGTCAAGTAACTAAACGTTTCCCTAAGAAACATATTCTTCCCGCGATCTTTTTTATTTCCTTTACATGATCTCGCCCCTCGTCACCATTGTCACGTGATATTCTTATCTCTTCATTAACCACGGCGTCATTATTGTACCCAATTTTGTCGTCACTAATTGGGCGTCAGAATAATAATAAGTTGATGATGTGACGTCATGAGAAGACTGATATTTCTCTGACTTTATAAGAAATATTTCAGTCGCAAAGCCAAGATAAAGCGTATACATGTTGTGACGTCAAAACAGAAACGGGTCGTGAGTAAATGATAAAAATGTGACGTGACGTTAATTTTAGACATTTATCACATGACTGCTGTTTTGTTCATTGGTTATACTCAAACATATTTTCGTTTTGTGACTCCACGATATATTGAAATGACGTCACATATTAGCAGATTACATTGTGATGTCACAATGGAGACAGCTAATATAGAGCCGTGAGAACTTCAAGTGTGATGTGAAAAATACGTTTTCTGAAATAATGTCAGAATTTCAAAAATCATTAACTTGTCAAAGGCTCACTGAAATATAAATAAATGACTCGTTTCATGAAAAAAACATCCGAAACGGAATTTCATTGTGAGAGCATATACATATATATCGTGACTTCATGATACAAATATTTTGTGACGTCATGATAAGACGTAAAGATGTCAGGATAAGGAAAGTGTCGTGAGGTCATTTTAGTATGAGACGACAGAAGTAATGCAAGGCAGCAATACTGACTTAAAGATGCTCACTAAGACAGTATGTGTGTTGTATGTTTATTGTATGTGTAGCAGCTAACACGGAAAAGCTTCCTCATCATGAACAGGAGTAAAAGATGGGATATTTAGGAAAATGCAACGCGAAAAAGCAATTAGCTTTGACTAGGAATGCCGCCTGTGTAATTATGTCCTTCGTAAATGATTTTGGCACTAGCTAAGTGTAAATTAGACCGAAAATTCTGTATATAATTATTTTGACACCTGGGAGATTTACACAACATATATCTTCCTTGTAATGATAAACATAACACGTATACATTGACTATGTCCAATGTAAGCTATATAGCTTTGATATCTTAATATATTTGATGATAAACGATCACCTAGCCATGACAATTTTTTCACACTGATGATGCTAAAACGAAGCTGATATTATTTTCGATATATCATGAAATGTCGATGACAAATTTTCAAATGAAATTATTTCCTTATTTCTTTTTACATAAGATCCTTTCAAAACTTAAAACTTTCAAATATCAAAGTTCTGTCTATAGTGCAGAGTTTAAATCTAAATATAGTGTAAATATAAATAAACTGTAAATCAAGCGCATATCTTAAGTACTACATAAAGTGTAGATATCAAATGTCTTAATATAGCGTAGATATATAAGGTCTTAATATAGCGTAGATATATAAGGTCTTAATATAGCGTAGATATCAAATGTCTTAATATAGCTCAGATATCAAATGTCTTAATATAGCGTAGATATCAAAGGTCTTAATATAGCGTAGATATCAAATGTCTTAATATAGCGTAGATATCAAATGTCTTAATATAGCGTAGATATCAAATGCCTCAATATAGCGTAGATATCAAAGGTCTTAATATATCGTAAATATAAAATGTCTTAATATAGCGTAGATATAAAATGTCTCAATATAGCGTAGATATAAAATGTCTTAATATAGCGTAGATATTAAAGGTCTTAATATAGCGTAGATATCAAAGGTCTTAATATAGCGTAGATATCAAATGTCTTAATACAGCGTAGATATAAAATGTCTTAATAAAGCGTAGATATCCAATGTCTTAATATAGAGTAGATATCAAAAGTCTTAATATAGCGCAGATATCAAATGTCTTAATATAGCGTAGATATCAAATGTCTCAATATAGCGTAGATATCAAAATGTCTGAATATAGCGTAGATATAAAATGTCTCAATATAGCGTAGATATCAAAGGTCTTAATACAGCGCAGATATCAAATGCCTTAATATAGCGTAGATATCAAACGTCTTAATATATCGTAAATATAAAATGTCTTAATATAGCGTAGATATCAAAATGTCTGAATATAGCGTAGATATCAAAATGTCTGAATATAGCGTAGATATAAAATGTCTCAATATAGCGTAGATATCAAAGGTCTTAATATAGTGCAGATATCAAATGCCTTAATATAGCGTAGATATCAAAGGTCTTAATATAGCGCAGATATCAAATGCCTTAATATAGCGTAGATATCAAATGTCTTAATATATCGTAAATATAAAATGTCTTAATATAGCGTAGATATCAAATGTCTTAATATAGAGTAGATATCAAATGTCTTAATATAGCGTAGATATCAAAGGTCTTAATATAGCGCAGATATCAAATGCCTTAATATAGCGTAGATATCAAATGTCTTAATATAGAGTAGATATCAAATGTCTTAATATAGCGTAGATATCAAAGGTCTTAATATAGCGTAGATATCAAATGTCTTAATATATCGTAAATATAAAATGTCTGAATATAGCGTAGATATCAAATGTCTCAATATAGCGTAGATATTAAAGGTCTTAATATAGCGTAGATATCAAATGTCTTAATATAGCGTAGATATCAAATGTCTCAATGTAGCGTAGATATCAAAGGTCTATATATAGTGCAGAGTTTAAATTCTACATATAGCTTAGATATGAACGTTATAAACATAGCGTACAGTTCGAAGCTCGCTGAAATACACCTTGGAATCTAATTAAAAGACTCCGTCTCCTAAACAGTTTTTATTTTAAGATAAGTATCTTTCTACTTTTGTTAACATGAATTTATATATACATGTGACGAGGACGACGACGACGACGACGACGACGACGACGACGATGATGATGATGATGATGATGATGATGATGATGATTAATTAATTTTCAATTGATGTCCAATAAGTTGTAAAATATATGGAATGAATTTAATTCAATTTTGATATGGCTTTGAGTTAATTTTTTGTAGATATACATATAATGTAATACGGATTTAATCTGTTATATATAACAGCCAAACTTACCGATAAAGTATTCTTTTATTAGCTCATGCAGCAAATAGATTAGAAAATTTCTTCCAAAAGTATACATAACTGAAATTTCCTTTAATTACTTTTCAATATATTTATCTCAATTTCAGATTGAAAACGATTGAACATGTTTTATATCAATGGTGTTTCAGGGACTATAATCCTAGCCTAAGTATATACCGATACCTCTTTCATTATCGAGTGCTTCTTTCATCCAAGGGAAAATCATAGCATGTACATAAATTCTTAGACATGATAACAAATATAGGTCGAGTGTTATTAGGGGCAGATCGGTGATATAGCTT